TGCCTTCCTTCCTTCCTTCCTTCCTTCCTTCCTTCCCTTTCTTTCCTTCTTTCTTTCTTTCTCTTTTCTTTTCTTTTTTCTTTTCTTTTCTTTCTTTCCTATTTAGTAAGAATCACCAGGGAGGGGGGAAATGTATATAAGGCTAAACAGGGAAACACAGCTCAGCTGTCCCTGCATGGATATTCCCAGTATTTAATAAAATATGCATACTTTAATGAATATATGTGCTTAAAGTGGAGTACAAGCAGAGTTAAATTGGAGATCATTTAATTACTGTTGCTGAAACTGTCATTTACTCTTATCAGACCATACTACAAAAGAGAGGGGAGAGGGAGAATAACAGGGCGAATTTTAAAATTATTGTTTTAGCGCAAGTGTGAATTTAGAGATCATGCACGTACTTGGGGAACGGCTTTCCAACAGCTGAGATGGACAGTTCATGGTCTTTACTGTCTCCTTTCTTGGAAAGTGCTCATCTGCAGCGTTGTTCAGACAAACCTATTTTTACGATAACTGCTACTAGTAAAGCCATAAATTATTACAAATTCTGTTACATGGACTCATTTGGAGAACTCCCAGGCACATAGGATTTTCCAGTATCAAATAAGACTCCGAGACAAAAATACAGCATGATCTCCCGGATTCCTCTCTCTGTGGCTGAGAGACAGACGGTAAGCCAACCATTTTTACCAACTGCAGATCTAAAAGGGTAACCCTGACATTTGGGGAACTGGTTCCAGCCTTCCACCCATCAAGTCCTTTTCAAAGAAGAGCAGGAGAGTAGAGTCTGTAGTATGCAAGCATCAATTCTGTAAAAACTGATAGTGTGTAGGAACTTTCTCCCGGTAACTGCTTTCTAACCCAAAGGTAGGTCCACGGGCAAAAGAAAGTAGGTTGAAGCCACCACAATTCCTACTTGGCCAATTCTAAAACTGGGGTCGATAAACAGAGCACTTCCAAGCGACCTGCCTCTCACGGAGAGACGTGAGAGCACTCACTGTGGGAATTTCCCGGTGCTAAATCGCGATGTTGGTCTTTTAGGCTGTCGATCACACGGGTGCTTCTGTTCAGCGGCAGGGACTTCTATTATATTCTGCTCAAGATGCCAACATTTATGCTAAATGCTGCACTCAGGGATAAATGATATATACCCCCAGATGACATCCTGGCTCATAACCAACTAGTGTAGGTACCATGTGCGGGAGGGCTAGCTTTGGCTGAAAGCGTCTGCGCCTTGCTTATGGTTCATGGCTCCCCAAATGGCAGGGATGAGGCCAGTGGTAGAAGGAAGGGCTTAGCCAAACACAGCTCTTGGTGTCCAGGGACCACAAACCCCATTTCAGAGGCAGAACCGACCTGGCATGCCACTCCCTCCTGAGATTCTGGCGGGTGGCGAGCGAGGCAAGAACGGCAGTCAAGATCTCGTTCCTTTGTTCCACGGGGACCCCCTCTCTCCGAACTTCACGAAGCACAGCATTTGTCTAGAAGAAATGGTCCAAAAAAGAGGAAAAGTGAAAAATTAATAAGAAAAAAACAAAAGCCCATAAGCAAATAAGGACAGTAAATCAATGGCTTCTTTATTACAGTCCCCCTGCTAACAAATCAATACAGTAAATGATGGTCAAAGATGGCCAGCGTACATTTTGTATTTAATCAATGTACCAAGCACATAAGGTAAACTCCAAAAGCCCCACTGCCTTAAGTAACACATTGAGATACTGTGTGTTCTCACTCAATTTCCTCAGTGCACCAAAGGTCTTTTTCCTGGGAACGGCCTCCCATGAGCTATTATTAGAAATGATTTTCACGTACACTTCACTGTGAGTTGTTTGTTTTGCCTTTTAAAAAAGAGCAGTCTCTGACTTTCGCTCTCTGTTTCCTGCCACCCAGCTGAGGATTTCTGCACTGCCACTCGTATTTGAATCATTAATTTCTATTTCCAGCCATGCCAGCAAATTTTTCTTTTCTTCTTTTTTTTTTTTTTTTTCTGGTTCACTCGTTTTCCTTGCTTGCTGCAAATCAAGATCTTGCAAAGAAAGAAACAGTAAAAGCACAAAAATCAAATTCATTCTCGATGAATCTTTCCAGCTTTAAAAATCCACTACATGTTTCAAATACCGTGTACAGGGATTCTTGGGCACAGCAGACTTATAATTTGAGGAAGAATCGTTTATTCTACAGTCATGGCTATGGCCCTTAAAAGAAATTAGGCTCACAGGTGAGTAGAAAAACACTCAAGCCTCTACCTAGTGTTAGAAATGTTGGGTGTTGCTTTTGGAAATAGTTGAAGTCCAGGGCTCCTGGGTGGCTCAGTCAGTTGAGCATCTGCCTTTGGCTCAGGTCATGATCTCATGGTTTGTGGGTTTGAGCCCTGCGTCGGGCTCTGTGCTGATAGCTCGGAGCCTGGAGCCTGCTTCGGATTCAGTGTCTCCCTCTCTCTCTCTGCCCCCCCATCCCACTCATCCTCTGCTTCTCTCTCAAAAATAAACATTAAAGAAAAATTAAAAAACATAAAAGAAATATTTGAAGCCTTGGCACATCACTCTAAGAAGGGGCATTACATCAAAACTCCAATTTGAAAAGTGTTGCTTCAATTTGATCTACAACTCACTCTTGTATGCCGGTTTTATATGCGTGTATTTTAAACATGCAAACTCATGTAACATTATAGAAAACAATTAAGAAAACAAAAGAGTATTCTACTGGCAACTGAAATTTGAGTGAGCGAATGCCTGGTGAGTTTTAATGAGAGAATTTTTCATCACACGTACTTATCTTCACGTAACTGGAGTAGAAATCTTGAGAATTTATACATGTTTTTCATTTAAAGTTAGTGTGGCTTCTTTGGAGATGTTGTAACCAAAGCAACTGCTAAAAGGAATGAGACTATGACCTTCTTTGTACTAGTCTCTCCGTGCATATTCCTTATCTAACTGATGCCAATGCCTTCATTTACTTAGAAAGCACGCTCACGGTTTTGTCCTGTAACTTGAAATACCACTTCCTTGCTCGTCTACAGCGATTCACAGCGTGTACTGAATGCCTTCTGACAACCTTGAGAAGAGGTGTAGTGAACATTTGTTCTGTGGTTGCCTTCTCTCCAGGCCCGGTCCCCCTCTTCCTGTGACAACACAAATCTTCTCTTGGGGGAGTCTTGTATTGCATGCAGTCTTAGAGGGACTTGCCAGTGAAAGTGTCCCACTCTCTCCCATGAAGGATGTGGCCCAGGCCAACCTGGTTCGCTTTTCCGGGACTTTAGACACTTAAGAAGGAGGACAAAGAGAGGGGAAAAATTTGGAGGCGGTTTATCAATTGCCTTAGTTCCTACCACCCATGGTCCTCGAAGTATTCCTGGTTTCCTGAACTTTCTGAGTAGAGATCATTCTTCTTCTTTTGAGACCTTGAGTTATCCACTCTCCTTTCAACCAAGTTCCATTTTGCTCAAATTCACCAGAATCCGTTTCTGTTGCTTACAATCAAAAAGCCTCACGGATACACACAGATAAGACAGGAGCGAGTAACTCCACTGTGAAAGGATCCAAGATCACGTGACTAGCCCTCGCCACGAAAACGACCCTGATCTCGGCCTCCTGGGTCCAGAGTTACATCTACAACATCAGATGATATACCCAGTTGGAAACTCTGTGAGCGTTGAGGGCAATGACAATTTCAGCCTTCGGGCACAGGGAGAAATGCTCATTTTTACTAGGCGCTTCTCCTACATGAAGCCCAGGCTCCAAGTGGCTAAAGCAGGAGCTGAAAATTCAAATACCTACCAGAGCCAGAGAGGTAACGTGAATGAATTAAACAAGATTACCTGACGAGAGCATATGCTCTGTGCAAAAGGGCAGTCCCTTTTCAGCAACAGCCAACTCGCCCATTCAGAGAGGCTGTTGCCGTGGTGCCAGACGCAGGAATTTTCAAAATGAGAAATCTGTTTTGATTTTTTTAATGTGAAAGTTTCTGATTTTTAAGTGTTGGAAACTTTTTTTTTTTAACTATTTATTTATTTATTTATTTATTTATTTATTTATTTTTATTAAATCTTTTTTTAATGTTTGTTTATTTTTGAGAGAGAGAGAGAGAAACAGAGCACGAGCGGGGAAGAGGCAGAGAGAAAAAGGGAGACATAGACTCCGAAGCAGGCTCCAGGCTCTGAGCTGTCAGCACAGAGCCCGACGAGGGGCTTGAAGTCACAAAACGCGAGATCATGACCTGAGCCAAAGTCAGACGCTCAAGTGACTGAGCCACCCAGGCGTCCCCTCTCTTTTGACTTTTTAAATGCCGTGTGGCCAAACGAGAAACGCCAACAGCTGTATGGAACTCAGTTGCTAATTTGTGACCTCTGATGTAAAAGATGCCTAATTTCAGAGAGGTCCTGGCATCGGTGGGTATTCTGACAACAGCATTCCTTCTTGGTTGTGCTGCCCCACCTCCTGTACTTAAAGTTGCAAGGAACCTCAAACAGTCCCCAAGCTTGTCATTATGTCTGCAGATCCATATTATTTTACCAAAGTAATAAGCAAAATGTTTCAAACAGAAGACAAGGTACACATCTAACTTGACTCCAAAGACATAAATAAAATTAATCTTCTATGTGACTGCATTCAAATAACTTTTTTAAAAAGTCATTTATCTCTTCTTTGCCTTTTGTGTCATTTAAATTTTATCCAGAAGCCCTTGTTTTCCCTGATCAGCCTCTAAGAGGCGAAAGGAGGAAGGATTTAAGAAAATAAGTTTCACGGGGGCTGGACCCTGTCTGTTTACTTCACTACCTCACCCCAGTGCTTGTCTAATGATTTTTAATAAATATTTGTCAAGTCAGGAAATAAAGAAGGAGCTTGAAAACAAGTACTGCAAAAACAAAGAGCGGGAGAAAGCTGTCTTTTAAGGCTTTACTATTATATAAACTTATAAACTCATCAAATAAATTAAGAGACAGTTACGTGCCTTACCAAGGAGCTCTCTTCACTTGACAAAAGGATTCACTTCAAGGTCTATTTAAATAAATAGCACCCCCCCCCCCGTGTAGAGTCTCCCCAAAATTCAGCCATCCTAGCACAGTCCCATGATTCTTGCCATATTTGAGTGTAAGGTACACAATATTTGGTATTTTTATTTCCAATGACCCGTACTTTAAAGTACAAAATAAATTCGCTTCAAAAGAAAAATGGGAAACCTGTGGTACTCGGCATCAATGAAGAGATACCCATAAAAAGAACATACTAAAAACAAAGCCACATGTCGATTTCATTCTAGATAGAAGTTGCTTTGCTGAAGGCTCTGAGAAGGAAGCCTGCTGTGCCGTAAATGACGTCATTAACGAGTGAATGTTAACGATGTGGAGACCGCCTGATCCAAAGACGTGGACTGAAAAGGAGCTGAAGAGGGAGTCCACTTTCTCCCAGTGCAGTCCCCACCATGTGCAGAGTCCTGGAGCGCCCCCTGGTGCCCCCCCCCCCCCCGGAAACACCCACGGTCCACATCCCAAGCTCTGGATGCACCACCCTGCTACAATGGTTTTCCAACACTCCACAGACAGATCTCTTTTCTCCCCAAATGTATTTTTCCATGGAACTCAATACATCAACAAAGCAAAACTGGACCAGTTCTCTTTGAGGCTGCTATGGAAGACCTAGAAGCCCTCCCTTTGTCATGGGGCATCTCTTCAAAACCCCAAGGAACTGTGAAACACGATTTGCCAACATCAACCCCAGAGCATTTAAAACAGCATTCAAGTTTTTAAAAGTTTATACACTGCTAGCGGGAATGCAAAACACTGCCATTCTGACACAGGCTGTGGTACATCCATACAGCGGAATACTGCTCTTCAGTAAAAAAGGACAACCAACCGACAGATGCAGCCACTTGTCTGAATCTCAAAGTCATTTTACTGAGTGCAAGAGGCCAGTCTCCAAAGATTCAACACTGCGTGACTCCATTTATTTAACTTTCTGGAAAAGGCACATTACAAGGACAGAGAACGAATTAGTGGTTGCCAAGGATTAGGATGGGGGAGAGTTGGTTACAAAGCGGCAGCATAAGGCAGTTTTGGGGATGAGGGAGCTATTCTGTATCCCGACTGGTGGTGGTTACATGAGTTCATACGTACATTAAAACTCACAGACCTGCATAGCCCCCAAAGTCGATTTTATCATATGAAAAGCTTATAAAATTTAATTGTCAAAATTCATTTCATTTTCATCATCATTTGGGGACAAGAAAGAACGTAGATAACAAGTGTCATATAAATACATCTGAGTAAGCAGTTAGTAAAAATATAAAGAAATAGAGCTAGACTACGAACCAGATTCTGTTACCAAAAAAAAAAAAAAATCTTCCCAAGATATTGGAAAAGGTTGGGAGAATTTAGATAGAGCATTCGGACCCTAAAATACAGCATTTCATAAAATCTGGAGTGAAAAGGATTCATTGCATAAAAGTTAATTTCAGAGTGTCAAAGAGCATTCTTTTGACAAGA